CCTGCAGCCCACAGCGAGGCCTTGGGTTTGCAGACCCAGCTAGTTACTGAGTTTCAATGAGTTAAGTTAAATATGGTTTGCGGGAGAACCTAGCCAATCTAGACTATTTATCTACATAATTCCAGTTCAAACAGATCTCCAGCGCATTCCTTGGCCTGTATTATCCAGAGCATTGCCTCAAATCTGTGTTTCGTCTCATTCGTAGACACCTGGTGTACACAGCAGCCACTTAACTGATAGAACTGTAATGACGAAATTAATTTTACCAGTGTAAACAGCCAAGTTGGATCATTTACACCAAAATCAACATTAAGGTCCGAATTACACGCCTGGCTCTCTACCTGGACGCGGACCGGTTCCTGGTACTTTGGATCAGGAAAACCACCTCCTGCCAGCGCCTCGGCCCCCCCCCAGCAGCTCCGGCTTCAGCCTGAGGCCGTCCTGCCGGGCGGGCAGTCTGGAAAGCCGCCACGCTTACCCGCTCGGGCTCGCACCGTGGTGGGAACGCAACCACCATATTTCAGAGTCCAGAGACTCAGCGGTCCCGCGGAGCGGCCAGAGGCCCCCACAGACGCCGCCCGGGGAACGTCGCGACACCTGAGCCGCGCCAGCTGCCGACCGCGGGGGCCGAGAGGACACCTTGCCGAGTTCACCTCGATACCGGAGAACAGGTCCCAGCAAAAGACCCGCGTCTAATGAAGTATTTAGTGGCATCTCTCTCACACACACACACACACACACACACACACACACACACACATCCCATAGTCAATGACAGAAGAAATTTTCTCACCCATAAGAACTTTTTAGAGCGCACGATTCTCATAATTTACCACTCACAGAAATGCCTATTTCTAGTTCTAGGCTCAACTTTTGATCCGATAGGTGCTGCATGAAGTCCTGGAGTATGGATTTTCACAAGCTTGAGTCTGGCACAGTCGCCTGCCCACCTATTTGAGAAACACTGCGGAGGAGTCTTGCTCCGTTTTGGGGTGGTGGTGGTGCTAGTGATGTAAATATAATCATAAGAGAAAGAGGAGAAAAACAAACATATATCGTTCCTCTCTCTTTCCCTGTGTTCCACCAAACATGAGCTCTGCTTGCCCTGGGCACTTAAAGAAAGTGAGTGCAGCCTGTCGTGTTTGCAGCCAAGAAGTCCTTGTTAGGGAGACGCCCACCTGCTCTGCCTGCCACCGAGAGGCGCCCGGAAAGCGGGACTCCCCGCACCGAAGGAGGGAAGTCCCAGGAAGAAAGTCCTACGAGGCCCGGGGCGGGCTTCAAGGTAAACACACAAGCTGCCTTGGGGGCCTGAGTGACAAAAATTGATTCTCACCATGACGATACCGCGAAGCTGTATAGAAGAATTTGCATCAGCAAATAAGGAATGACCCACGCCAAGAAAACGGCATTTCCTAAGTCACAGAAGTAAGAAAGTGTCTAAAAACACTCAGGAAATACCACGTAGGGAGCCGATGTGCGAGGACGAGGGACTCAGGAGAAACGGGGCTGGAAACCAGGCCATGAGCGTCGGCGACGGCGCTGTGGAGACGCCGTTCCTGACTGCTCGCCCTGCCGTGGCCGCTCCGTGTTTGAGAAGGGGGACAGGCATGTTACCGGGAGCCGGTTAAGCAGAGGAGACAGAGAAGAGGCCTGTGCTGAGAGCTGAGCCCACGTTGGCGGAACAGAGAAGATCCGTTGGTCAAGGACACTCTGAAGAGACCACTGGTAGGACCCGATGACTGGCTCGCTGTGGCAACTGACCGAAGAAGGGGTGATAGGACATTTTCAAGGTCTCAAGACCTGTGGTTGTGATGATGTTTGTTATTAAAAGAGTTTGGGAACATCGGAGGGAGAACATTGTGTTTCGGCGGAAAAGCTAAGATAATAAATTCAGCTCTGGATGCTGGGGTTCAGGGGCCTGACTTGGATATTGTATTGCTATGAAACAACCCCCCTGAAGCCGAGTGCCTGAGAACAAGCCTCGGCTATGATCTCTCAGGAGTCTGTGTCCCGCTGGCTCAGGGGGCAGTGCCGGCTTGGGGTCTCTCCCAGTGCCATGACGTGGCAGCTGGGGCTCAAGTTCAAGGCTGGGGGCTTGGGCTTTGCTGGGGAAGGTGATGTCAAGGTCACTGCACTTCTGAAAAAGGTTGCTGGCTTCCAAGAGGCCACAGAAGAAGCTGCCGGTCCTCTTAAAGCGAGGTCTGCAATGAGCATAGCTTGACCTGCATGGCATGACTTCACCTCTTACTGTGAAAGTGGTCACAGGACGGCTCAGGAAAGGCGCTGGAGGCCTCTCCATGGTGGAGTGTCAACAAATGTGCAGCCCTCTCTACTCTGCCATGGTGCAATATGTGGAGAAATATTGGGGGGCAATAGTGAACCCCAGCCTGGCTCTCCAGAAAGAGGTCAGAATTGGAGATGTGAGTGATGGAGAGGGAATGAGTGAGTAAATAAAGTGTGGGTGCTGAAATCAGCTTTAGTTGAATACAGCCTGAGAAATTATAAAGCAAAATTATAAGTCAGGATGTGGGCAGTACAGTGAATTACTGTATAAATATCCATCCCAGATACTGCGTTTTGTATAATGATTGTGCAAGTCTAGAAACTTACACACGAAGAGAATGGGTGGCTGGGCCCCCCAGCTTCTGAACTAGAAGTTAGAAACTTTGTTACAGGTATAAAAAATGTTTTCCAGTATTCACTGGTAGAAAAAAATTAGAAATTTTGATATATTTCGGATTAATCTTTGCTGTAAGCAGATAATGTTTAGTGAATAGAGACTTCCATGAGTCGGCACCCCTTCTCTCCAGTCACCTTACTCCAGGAAAAGCGATGGGTGAGCCTGGGAGTGGGCTGCAAAATCAGCGGTGATTTTCACTTGAAAATTGTTAGAAGATCTCTAGAGTTTACCGTTTAGCTCCAATCTCAATACTAAAACAGATGTATTAAAATAAAACAGGTATTTGCAGAGTACATTATATAATCAAAAGTTAATAGTTTAGAAATAGCTGGAACATTTTATTCTATGCTTAGAATCCTCCACTGGAATAGGTAATAAAACGTTCGATTTTATTCCGCAGAGCAGGTTTCTGATATCTAGCTTGGAATATTCTATGTGGGTTAATAATTTCACTTGCATGACTTGGAGTTTTCTCTAATTAGGCTGTAAACTATCTGTAGGCTACTCTGTAATTTGCATATAGTGTCTAGCTTCGTCTTTTGATGGCACTAAAGGGAGGGAAATGCCTTCAAAGACATGAAATCTCTATCAAATAATGGCTGCAAAAGTTATAACCGTCAGCCTGGCCGGTGGAGCTCAGTGACTGAGAGTCCACCCAGGAACCAAGAGGTCACCGGTTCGATTCCCGGTCAGGGCACATGCCCAGGTTGCGGGCTCGATCCCCAGTAGGGGGCGTGCAGGAGGCAGCCGATCAATGACTTTCTTACTGATGTTTCTCTCTCTCTATCCCCTCCCTTCCTCTTTCTCTAAAAATCAATAAAAAAAAAGATATTGATTAGAGTGTGGAGTCAGGGAGAGAATTCTCTTTGAAAAAAAAGGTATAACCATCAGGTACACATATATGCGTGTGCTATGTATGTACAAGCACATATATAAGCATCTAATGCNTAAAAAAAAAAAAAAAGATATTGATTAGAGTGTGGAATCAGGGAGAGAATTCTCTTTAAAAAAAAAGGTATAACCATCAGGTACACATATATGCGTGTGCTATATATGTACAGGCACGTATATAAGCATCTAATGCACATATATATATATTCTAAGTGTGGTTTTGTTCTTTAATTTGGGGAACAAAAGAGACAATAAAGAGGAAAATGAGACAAAGCCACACAAACTGAGCTTTAGTGAAGGCAGGTCACCTATTCATAGGCCGACATGAATCGCCGTGACCGAGGCGTGCGGAGATGGCCACTCCCCTACCCTGCAAGGCACTGCGAGCTCACAGGGACCCTCAGCCAAGCTCTCCACAAACACGCCATCAGCACACGAACCGTGAGGAGGAAATCTAGGGTGCACACACTGTTTCAAAAGTACTGGTCACAAGGAAGGATTTAAAGACATAGCTAAGATCAGATGATAAGAATGTATATGTTCCTGATGAAATGGCCAGATTCTTAAAAATTTACTGGCTACAGAAACCTTGGAAGTTAGCGATGTAACGTTCTATGACCAATGCTAGTAGCAATACTTTTCCGACGGTAAACTGTAAAGAGAAAGAACATAAAGAACTATAAATATTTTTACGCCCCCTCCTTGCTACAGTCTTACGTCAAGTGCTGGAGTGGAACCCAGAAGGTCCCGAGAAGCCTGCATCCCACCCCGAGGTGGGAGCTCCACCGAGTTCCCACGGGCGGAACCGCCGCGTAAACCACTGCGATTCAGAACCGCTTTAACTTGCACAGCTGGCGCTGGGGACGTGTGACTAAGCTTCCCAACGGCGTCGAAGGCGCATCTGCGGGAGCTGCCTCGTCTCCGGCCACTTCCTGCCGTTACCGTCACCGCTCACCACCGGCAGCTGACGTTTCTCTCACACGCTAAAGCCCTTGGGGGACAGCCCCCCCTAATGCTAAGGGTTGCTGCAAATGTGTTCCCCTCTCATCTACATTTTTGATGAAGGGAAAGGGTCTTAATTTGGGTCATTTTGGAAACATAAATCTGTAGAGAAAATGCACATGCATTTATAATGCAACCAACATCGCGTGATTTATTGTTCTTAGCGTGTGTAAATACAGAAGGTAAACCATTAAAAGTCCAGCTCTTAGGTCCCCCGGACAGGAAACACTGCCAGCCACTAATGGGGCAGGTGACCTCCCCTGTGAAGGCCAGTCTCAGGCCCACTGGGTCCCGTCTCATCATTTCAGCTGAGCTAGGTCCCCAGTTTCATAAACCGTCATCGTGAACCCGTCTACCCTCCTCGGGCCACCGTCCTGGGGAGGGCTTGGTGAGTGGTAACATGAAGGCTCGAAATGGGTTCGCATACCTGATTGTGGACTTTGCTTGGGGATTTTGGCTACCGCTTGAGGGCTGGAGGTGGAGGGCGCGCGCTGGCTGGCAGAGCCGTGGGTGCTGCTGGGCGCGGCGGCCGAGCCATTCTTCCGCGGCTTGGCGTCCTGCAGCCACATGGGCGAGGCTTCGAAGGCCTGCACCCTCCGAGCGTGGCCGCTGGCGGTGACGTTCAGGAAGGCCTGGGCCTTGTGCTCCCGAAGCTCTCCGTAGCTGGCGTCGGTCACCCTGCACTCGTAGAGGCCCTGGTCCTTTTTCCGCACTTTGGAAATCTGCAGCTTGTGGGAGATGTCGTTGCCTTGGACTTTCACTGTCTGCAGCATTGCGGGGAAGGAAAAAAAAGGGGGGGGGCCTGCATGAAATGATGGTGTCTCCAGACTTTGTCCTGAGCTTGCTCACCTTGGACAATGCAAGTCTTCATGGCTACGGTGAGAGAGCTCCTGAGGGTCTCAGCTGTGAAATCTCAAGGTCTCGTTGACCCCGGTCTACTCCAGCTCAGGGCCTAGTGAGTTCAGTTCAGCCTGCGCCCGATCCCACCAGCCACACCATCCCCGTTCCCCAGATTCTGGCGACACCTCTGCCGTTTTCCACTCATGGGGTCGCCTCTGCCTGGTTAGCTCAGTGGAGTGAAGCGTGAACCGAGTGAGGTCAAGTTTGGACTTTACACAGTCTCTTTACTTTCGGCTCCACCTCTGAGAGGCCACAGAAATACCTGGGGGGCAGCTGTGACCAAGGGCGAGTTCAACTGAGAATGAGCTTTTATCCCCACGTTGGAATAACTATTAAAGGTACTGACACAATGGACTTGGATAGTCACGATTTTTCTTCTCGATGTTTTTGGTACACTCTGACCTACAGGCATGGGGTGGCATGGCCCAGGGTGCAGACTGATACCACCCGAAGTCTTGGGGCTCAGGGTACACCCCTCCCCTTCCTCTCACCATTACAGGGTTTCTATGCTACTGGAACTTTATAATGCTTTGATTTTCAAAATTGAAATTGGCTCCCTTATTTCTTCTAATAATTTGTAGGCCAGATTAATAGCAAGATTATATATATGTGATTATGTATATAACATATAAAATTCTATATAATATGTAATATATGTCCCTAAGCATCTTTATCAAAACAGCTAGATTTGATATCCATCATATATTATGCATGATTGAATGATGATGGATTTCATAAGACATTCAGAATGCTCCACACACAGTTACGACAAGTAATAACCAGCAAAGCGGAAAGATATCTGTACNTTATGCATGATTGAATGATGATGGATTTCATAAGACATTCAGAATGCTCCACACACAGTTACAAGTAATAACCAGCAAAGCGGAAAGATATCTGTATATTACAATGGGTTAACCTCTTCAATGATGCGTCTATGTCCATATTGGCTTTTGATTTTCTACTCATATGATTTCGTGTATCCAGAAGCATCACTATCCCCACAATGCTGAATGGACAGCAGCATTGCAGCGCTCTGCTCTTACAGTTATATAACTGTTAAAACGCAAAAAAAAAAAAAAA